CATGAGATCAGTCTGTACGTACTCTCCTCACGCAGCGAGCGACTCATTTCATTTCATTCATTGACTCATTCTTTAACTATATTAAATGATAAAAAACCGACTAAATCACAGTGAAAACATTAAAATCTAAATGCACAGCGCACCCGGACTAGTCTAATCTACAAGACTAACGTTACATCACGTAGTAGTGTATGTGTACACTCTGTGTGTTTGTGTGTGGAGATATACTGTATTAAATACTTTTTTGCAACCTCCTTTTCCAAGATAACAGATCTGAGTCTTTCCCTATAATGCCTGATGAGTTTGGAGAACACCTGACAAGAGATCAGAGACCATTTCGCCATACAGAATCTCTCCAGATCCTTTAGATTCACAAGTTCAGGTTGGTGCTTCTTTTCTTCAGTTCAGACCACTTATCAGGTCAGGACACTGGGACGGTCAAGGCAGAAGCTTCATTTTGTGCTCAGTTACCCATTTTTGTGTTGATTTTGATGTTTGTTTTCGACCGTTGTCCTGATGGAAGATCCAACCACGGCCCATTATGAGATTTCTAGCAGAAGGCCTCTGGTTTCGATTTTTTTATCCTTTTGTATTTGATAGAATCCATAATACCATGTATCTGAACAAGATGTCCAGGACCTCCAGCAAATAAATAGGCCCACAACATATAAGATCCAGCAGTATATTTAACCGTAGGCATGGGGTACTCTTCTTCCCTGTTTGCACCAAACACATCTGCTGGGTTTGCTGTGTTACGGTTTGTTTTGGATTTGTTCTGCGGAACGTAACAGCTGCCAAAAAGCCTTTTTTTTCCCCGTTTTATCTGACCATAGAATCCGGTCCCTTTTGAAGATCCAGTCGTGTCTGACCACTGAATATGCTAGAGTTTGTTTTTGGAGGTGCGAGGAGGATTTTTCTTGAAACCCTCCCAAACAACATGTGGGGATGTAGGGGTTGTTTGATCATTTTATTTTTAGGTTTTCTGACTTCCAAGACTCAACTAATCTCTGCAATTCTCCATCTGTGATCCTTGAAGAGTCTTTGGCTACTCAAACTTTCACCCTCACCGTCCATTAAGGCAATATAGACACACGTCCTCTTCCTGGCAGATTCGTAACATCTTTAGTTGATTATAACTTCTTAATTGTTGCCCTGATGGTCAAAATGGGGATTTTCAGTTCTTTAGCTATTTTCTTACAGCCACTTTGTAATTTGTGAAGCTCAACAATCTTTTGCTGTACATCTTATACGGTAGGGGGCGGTAAAACTCCTAAGCGGTGAGCAGCCGGTAACAAGAAGTAGACGAATGAGAACGTCCTCGTCTCAGTTCTCGCGCATGCGCCCATAAGGAAGTAATGGAATAGTGGAATAAAGTCGTTATTTATGTTTTTTTTTCGCACAAAAAGTAGTCTCGTCGCTTGATAAACTTATAATTGAGCCGCTGTAGGCACATGGAATATTTAAACCTTTTCTTTAATGACTTTATGGGCCGTCAAGAGCCAGTCCCAATAGGCAGTCTATGTAGGACTGATCGAGCTCTCAGATTCAATCAAAAATATCTTTATTTGTGTTCCGAAGATGAACGAATGGGGGTGAGTAATTAATGACTTAATTTTCATTTTTGGGTGAACTAACCCTTTAAAGCCTAGTTTATTAACATTTTTTGTGGATGGATGGGATGGATTGTATTGTGTAGAATTGGTTTAAAGTTAGAGTTGGAAACATCTCGAAAAGAAAATTCTTTTTCCATATAAAGTATTATTTTTAAAGTAGGCCATTTGCATTTTATCATACATATTTCAAAGTTAAGGATTCATTATTTTGATATGTGCAATGCATTAGCTTGCATTGTATAACAGTTGATTAGTTTATTTTTGACAAAACATACTATATATTTAACATATGAGGCAGAAACTGGCTTACTAAAGCTTATTTGATGTCTATTTTATAGTAAAAACTTCATAATTTATTTCATCTGTAACAGTAGGCTATGCATCTGTGCGTTCGTTCGTTCACACAACCAGACACCTGATTCATATTTAAACAGTCTTTTTGGTTTTACAGATCCGTATAGAACAAATCTCATTAGTCTATATAGTCTTACTAATGTAGGAGCGAGAGTGAATGAACGCACAGCGTGTCTGTGCGCGCATTTAATATTTAAACAGTCTGTGTGCAGTTTACAGACACTATTCAATAACGTGATAAGAACAAAGCACTTTTGAAAAAAATGACTTACTACATCAGCTGAATCCGTGAATTGAAACAAGTAACTGAGGTAACTTTTCCAGGATTATTATGACAGTATTATTATTCCTCACATCGCAAACGGCAAGACGAGGAAAAGGTTAGATTTGTGATAAACTGGATGTTTTATCGAGCTAATGTGGGCGTTTTCATGGCTTGCCTCAACATTAGCGTTTGAATATTGCGCGTTCTCAGGGGGCATGGTCACATTACGCCATCCGCTATAATTAGGTGAAAGGAAAAAGACTGACATCTCTCTCTTTTCATACAGATTTCACCAACTGAGAATACTTGAAGAGTTCAGATGCAAAAGCCTCTAAGTGCCATTTGAAATTTTCTTCTAAAAGGATCATTTTTATCAAGCTTGTATATTTAAGTTCAGTAATTTCACTTAAATGGCAATGAAGATTACCTATTAATTGTCATTTAAGTGAAATTAAATATACAACTTAAATATACAAGCTTGATAAAAATGGTCATTTTAGAAGAAAATTTCAAATGGCATTTAGAGGCTTTTGCATCTGAACTCTTCACTTGCTTTTTTAGATAAATTACTTCATTTAAAAGAAGAGAATTTCAGCTTCATAAAGAGAAATCTTTCGTGTCTCTGTGACAACTGAGTTACAGTTCATTTTTCGGACGCGTTTCAGAAAGATTTTTGTGGAGACAGAGGTAAACAGGTGAAAACACATGAAAACGCACCCTGTTTATTTTATTTATTTTACAAAACCACAAGGTTTTGATGTTAACAGGAGTTAGGGGTGGCACGGTTCACGAAACCGACGGTTCGGTTTGTATCACGGTTTTATGGTCACGGTTTTCGGTTCTGTACGGTTCTTGTTATTTTTTCTTTTAATCTTTAACACTCCAGAAATGTACTTCAGCATGTGATCTATAGCTTAATTATCCACACTTTAGGATACAGTATAAAAAAATGATATTCATGCAATCATGCACAAACTGAATTTGACTCTTTGACTTTAAGCACATTTTGGGACTATCTCAGAGGAAAGCTATAGGTGAGATTTTGATACAGCAAGAGAGAAGACATTGACATGCTTTTCGTTTATTTGGCAAAAAAAAGGAGAATGTGTATCACACTATATCTACAAGAACTTGTGCATTTTTATCACACAAATCTTATTTACACAAGAAATAAACTTGCATTTATCAACTGCCAACTTTTGTAGCTCTTACAAAAATTCTATCTTTTAAAAGAAAAAAAGAGGAACTATTAAAACACTGTCTTTTATGAATAAGTCAATATACATGAAACCTCATTGCCTATAATTAGTTAGGCTATAGCAATAGCAAAGGCCATAAACATAAAGTGAAACATAAGTTCAACCTCAACACAAAAGACAGTATCAACAATGCTTCTATTCCCAGAGAGTCCCACTTAAAATTAAAGTGCAGGATTTGGAAACGTATGACTGAAGCTCTTATCTAAACATAAAGTGCCACTGTAGCGTTATATTAAAATATCATAACATGAAATCCAAAATGTTCCCACACACCGGACTTATAGCATAGACTTATACGACGCTGGCGCATCCTCCAACTCCCTCATCTCTCCCACTTGCCATTTCTCCGCGTGCCGTGACCGCGCTCCATACTCCACTTTTACTGGCTTGTTTACTAACTTGAACCGGCGCTGCACAGAGCGATCGGTAATGACATCAAATACCGCAAAAGTGAGTGACGGAGCCGTCGCTCTCGGGCTAGTTTGATGTTATTCACCGGTCGCTCTGTGCAGCGCCGGTCCAAGTCGAACGTCGCGCGAAAGAAAACACACGTCACATACGGGCACGAGGCGCATGCGTCGAACCGTGAGACGCACACACGCTCCGAACCGAGACAAGCGAACCGAACGGTTCGAGTGTTTTTCATGTACCGTGCCACCCCTAACAGGAGTGTACACAAAAAAGAAGACCCCCTACAGTTTATAATCATGTATTGATTTTATTTATATGACCATTAATGATTATTTTAAGCCTATGTTGCAGCTAATGTATGTGAAAAAAAAACCCCAGCATAACGCAGCGGCGCGTTACTTGACCTCAGGGGGTTAACTTGTGTGTGTGTTCAGGAAGTTGCAGTGACGGAACCGACTGTCGGGTGCGGATGTCTAAATTAGAGAAAATCATAGTTTGGGTAGGTGGATGATTTATTTTTAACAGCAGATTCGGGTGAAGTGTCCACACATCTCTTATCCACACTGCCCTACAAAGCAAAAAGGCAGTAACTGCAGTTTTGGTAAAGCATTAATTATTACAATTTTCATGACATTCAAGGCATCCTTTGTTATGTGACAAAACATCTTATGTTAAATGCGTGTCGTTTTAGAGAAAAATGGTAGTCGTTTGTAAAGTAACTGCAAAAAGCCCTAGCAAAAGTAATTTTTCTCAGTTCTGCACTCTGCGTAGTTACTGCCTTTTTGCTTTGTAGGGCAGCACAGTTCTAGCCCTTCCCTTCTTTAAATGCAGAATAAATAATACTGCCACCTGCTGGTATGGGAAGGTTATGTCTTCTCACGCAGGAGTCAAGCGTACATGCTAATTGGCCATCGATGTAGTCTGTGAGGTTGTGTTCAAGCACAACTTTTTAGCCCTGACACAAGCAATCCGAGTCAACGCCACTGTCGGCTTTTATCCACACTAGTACTTTTATCGGTTTGGTGTGTCCCTAACTTAAAAGAGTGCAAATGTCATATTCAGATGGTGTTTGTAAAGGATTACTCACACTGAACATACCATTTCATTGGCATAGACTTCATGTCGGTCAACAGAGTCTCTGGTCAGTGTTTCTTTATAATCTTGTCTTCTCTTGCGTAATCTGAAGAAACAGCACAGTAGATATTTCCAAAAAGTTTAATAAAATCAAATAAAATTCAGCAGTAGACAGTTTGCAGTTTGAACTTCAGATTTATTTGGGCTATAAATCTGCAGTGCGCTTTTGTAAACATGCAAATAATATATGTCATTCTTCATGATCTTTATCCCGCCGGGAAAATAGCAACAGCGCCGGGACCCGCCCACAAAGTTACTTGCGGCATGCGCTTTGACACTTGCGTTTCAGATCGTTAAAATAGGGCCCGATAAATGTATACATTTAAAAGAAAAAAAAGTTACAGCTTTTGTAGCAAGTGCACTGTCTGAAAATGACTCGTTTTGGAATGTGCCGATTTATGACATCACAGAAAGAACGCCTCTGCAGAAGACGACTACTTCATCGTGACTTTTGCCATGCCCACTGGAGAGGTGAGATGAGTGATAAAGGATCACTGGACTAAAACTCTAAAACTACTGGACTCTGGCCAGTTGATAAGACCTAGAATATCAAAATTGACTGCTGGCGGTAGATCCTTTTCCAATTTAGCACAAAAACACTGGAACAGTCTTCCTAACATTGTTCGGGAAGAAGACACACTCTGTCAGTTAAAATCTAGACTAAAAACACATCTCTTTAACCAGGCATACTCATAGAAAATTATACGTTCCTATTATTCAAATCAGTTAAATCAGGGGTCGGCTCGCGAGCCATATATGGCTCTTTTTAAATTTTATATGGCTCCAGGGCTGGACTGAAAAAAAAACAAAAAAAAACGGCCCAGGCATTTTGGCTCAGACTGGCCCACTACATATGAACATAAACACAACTGAACTGTGTACGCCCTTGAATACGTATACCAACTAGAGGTCGACCGATTCATCGGATTTGGCGATTAATCGGCACCGATAGTTGATTGGTGGAACTATCGTTATCGGCAAAAATCCGCACCGATAGTTATTTCCTGGTTTCGTCCGTTGCTGGGGCGGCTGAGAAGTGCGCGCTGTCATTCATTACACAGTACGAGAGAGCTGAGAAGGGTCTGCTGGCATCATGCAGTACAAGAGCGGCCTCTAGAGGTGTCATTAAAACTATCAACTGATGCCTCATGTTGTTTATTTCGACACGTGACACTGCGCGCTGCACTAAGAGCGCGCGTTGTGTGGAGAGTGGAGATCGCTGACATCTGATGCGCGTGCTAAAGCACGGACAGCGAAAAGGTACAGGGAATTTTGTCATATCATTATAAACGGATGAATTTGTTGACTAAATGCTGCATTAGTAGAGAAAGAACCGCACAACAGTATGTTTGTTTGCCTTCGAGAGTGGCTGAGAGGACGCACATTAGTAGTACCTCAAGCGGTTAAAACACTGACACAAAAATACACCTAAGTCCGACCCGAATGTTTAATGTCACAAATTGTTACCATCTATTTGCATTAGTTTATATCCAGCTGGTCACTTTGATGCATTCATTATGCAGCGACGTTGCATATAAGCTAGAGACGTATGGTAGCAAACTGATATGTTCATACAGCCGACAAAAACAAACGAATCAGAGAAGCATTCGATTTCGGTTCTTTTTTCACCATCACTTTAATACATATTTATTTTTATTAAATATTCTTTAAGTTCTATAAAATACAGGGCTCCAGACTGCGACCAAATAGTCGCATTTTGCGACCAAAATTTGAGAGTGTGCGACTGAATTTTACATCCAGTCGCACATGTGCGACCGGTAAATTTGCCACACGTTAAACGCATGGTAAGCGTGGAAGGGACGCGTCAATGAATCCGTGACAAGAATAGCGCGATTAAACGTCTGTGGGAACATGCGAGAGACGGAGTGAGACGGAGACAAATATCACAACCTGATGTGCGTCTGAGCAATAAGCGATCTATCGACACGTTACCTAGCAGCGAATACAAACAAAGTGAAAGTGAAACTAAAATACGCAACTCATATAGGCTATGCTTCACGGACCGTTGGCGTTTTTATTAGGTTGGACCAATAATAGACAGAGCAGCGCATAGTGGAGCCCCCCGAACCACCGACAGTAATAAAGCCCCGAACTTGCCAGTCGCTGGTTAACACATTAATAACATTAACTAAGGTTAATAACTGCTGTTCATTGTTTGTTTATTAACATACTACATTTTTAAATTAAGGTTTTATTTGTTGACCATACTTAAAACTCTATGAACTAACGTGAATGATCAAGGTGAAATTGTATTGCTCAAATATTAATGCTGTAAACATTTATATTGCATAATGCACATAGTTCATGTAAACTAGCTAATAAATCTTTGTTAACAAATTGGACTTGCAACATGTTATAGCTAAAGAAACACACATTTAACATATTTTAATGTTTAAATTATTTTCAGATGGCAAATTTTGTTATTATTTGAAACGTCTTTTTTATTCATTAGGTTGGCTTGAAAAAGAACAGTTAAACAGTTACATTTGGAATGTTTAATTTGTTATTTAGAGTATTATTTTTTGTTTGTTTGAAAGAATGCCTTTTATGCCAGTTTTTTGTATTTTTATAATAAAGTTCAGCACTGTTTTACTTGGAGTGTTATGTTTGTTTTTATCCAGTATCAATTTTAAAAACTATCGGTTGATTAATCGGTTATCGGCAAGTACAGCCCAGCCTAGCTATCGTTATCGGTAAAATCCAATATCGGTCGACCTCTAATACCAACAACTCCTATTAAAACCACCAACGGCATCTAATGAGTGAGATGAAATAACTACTAAGTTTAAAATACAATTCTCCAATTGCATTGGCAATACCAGTCTTTCTCACAAGATGTTTATATAGTATTGGTCAGCGCACCTTTGTCCCTCTAGGGGCGTTCGGGGGCATGTTCCCCCGCAAGAAAATTTTGTAAAGAAATTAATTAAGTAAAGTAAAATTAATTAAGTAAAATTAAGTAAAGAAACGAAATTATCTTACCAGCGCTGTTGCCACTCTCTTATTGATGTCTTTGATTTGGAAATTAGCTGATGATCAACTAAATGCAGCTCATATCTGTTGCTTTTGGTGGCGTGCAATCCATTAAATCTGCATATAACGCGGGAGTTTAAGATCGGATTTATATCCGTTTTGCAAAAACACATTTATGTGGCCAGGTGTAAATGGAATCAGTACTTATTATCCGGATAACTTATCTGGATACAGATCGCATTTTAATACCAGGTGTAAATTGGTTTCAACAACCAGATTGCGTTTACACCTAGTAAAGATCCGAACACAATGCAAGCCAGACTACCTCCAGATGTGGTCAGGCAGATCCGATCACAATCCGATCACAACGCATTTACACCTTGCATTAACATGCGTTTTTTATTATCCGGATAACTTATCTGGATACAGATCGCATTTTAATACCAGGTGTAAATGGGGTCTTAGTTACTTAAAATATATACATAGAGCTAGCCTGACTTAGGCAATAGTCCAACATTTTTCTGGCATTTTTATAAAATAAGCTATCACAAGTAACTTAGCAGGCACGTAATTTACTACTGTTTTGTAATTTCATGGTTTACTAATTTACGTTGCATAAGTTAGTAGGTTTTTTTTTTTTTTTTTTGTAAATTGTTTATTTTCAATGCTTATGTCTACATACAAACGTAGCCAAGGCTACGTTCTTTCTTTAAAATAAAAACCCGTGGCGTCATTATGTTTAAGTTACACTATTGGTTTACGCGTGTCACACTGGCTTGTACGTTCGCTTCGTGACAGTGTACAGTCAAAATCGTTTATTGCTGTTTCTGTGTCAGTAAACTAAACGGTTAACTTCACGTTGTTTCTCTTAAGGCGGGCATACACTGTGCGATGTCTGTGCGATTTCAGCAAGGTACCTACTCACACTGAACGAGTAAATCGCATGCGATGCAAAGCCAAAGTTCAGGATTTATGTGCTCACACTGTACGGTCCGATCGTCGAGCTGCGATTTCACTGCTCACACTATACGTGTAATATATGCGATAACCCCCTGGATTGCGCCTATTTACGTGTATGTATCCAGAGATATTGTCAAAACAAGCATCTGCTATCAGTATCAAGATGATTTAGTATTTTCAATTTATGCATTTAATTATTATTATTATTATATTATCATTATTAGGGGAGGCCTATAGGCTAATTTTACTATTAAATTGATCCGCTATTATAATTAATTTGCCACGCAATATTTTCACAGCACCAACGTGCTGTGAGGATAATAAATAATTAATCTTACTCCTCATTAAAAATTGTCTAAAACATTTAGGTCGATTACAATGAATTATATACATATAAAATAGCTATTAACAGTATATAATATGTCCGAACATTGCCATTATTAATCATCAATGAAAATTAAAAACAGGTTTATTTCAAAAACATTGTTTGACAAAATAATAAAAGAGGTGTTACATATCAGGTGGCTTGAAGACGGTGGGTAATATTATCCATTTTGCAACACGAACTGGAGGTAAGCAACAGTAATTTGTAGCTCGTTTTTATTTTAATTTTATTTTTGCTGCAGATGAAATGGTTAAACTTCTGTTTTCGCGCAGGTGCAGTGAGGAAAAAAAACACTGCGTTTAGGGCAATCGGTTCGTAGCTTTGCTTCAACTGTGCGATATAGTCACGAGGAGCGACCAAAATTTCTGACATGCCAGAAATTCATCCGACCATCCGATTGTCGATCGTGAGAGGTTAATCGCCTCTCGTTTCTCCCTGTACACTGCACGAACACTGCACGACAAACGACGCACGACAAAGCTGAAAATCGGTCCGACACGAAAATGAGTCGCACGAGTCAGAATTCGGCTCAAAATCGGACGAAAATCGCACAGTGTATGCCCGCCTTTAGTAGGATAAAAACTAAAATTAAGAGTCATTATGAAAAAAAAAAAAATCGGATCGGAGGTCCGCGTCAACTGAAGAATGATTTTGTGAAATAATTTGCATATGACAGCGCACTGCTTTTCTATTGCCATAAGTTATGTTATTTTAAACAAACAACTAATATTTACTACGGTCTGAGACCGGAGACTTTAACTTACTTCAGAGTGGATAGATGAGGATCTGATGGCACATTGTCAGCGTCTTCATGTCCACTTCGCAGGGAATCAACACTGAGAAGACAGTAAGTTACCGTTATGTCATAAAATAAATACAACTGAAATAAATACTAATCCCTCTATTATTACCTGCAGATGATTTTGAGTTCCTCCAATGTCTTGGGCTCAATGCCCATCTCTTCAATGAACTCCACATCCTCAATCTCTGGGGCTGAGTTACAGTATGAATAAACCTCCGGATTTAACACATCCAGCCATAAATCTCTAAACGTGCCAATATGAAACTCGTTTGAGTTTACGTTAATGAATTCATAAGCAGGCACGTTTTCAAGTAGCTTTTCTTCGCGCATCAAACTAACGTTACTTCTGTCCGCCATAACAAGCTATTTATCGACATCGCAAAGAACCATGCAATGAACCTTCGTCTGTGGATCTGTTTGTAGTGTAGATCTGACTGCGGCTGCGGCAGTTGCTTCTTCTTCATGGAATTTTCTGCTTCTTCTTCTTCTTCTTCTAATAGCTTTTTATGGCAGTTGGCAAACCAACTTTCGGTGCATTACCGCCACCAACTGGACTGGAGTGTGGAGCACTGATAAGCGAGTGTAATTTAACATTAAAAAAAAAAATTATAATAATAACTTTAACTCAATTGACTCAAATTCTCCCGTCTATTCCTATTGCTTTTACAAATTTTATAATAGCACTAAATATCTTATCTTGATCTTTATGTACTTTCAAAATGCTTTCCATATTAAAATATTCAAGACCCAATTTCCTTACTTTCTTCTTAAATTCTAACCTTTCTGTTAAATATTTTTCACATTTAATTAAAACATGTTCAATTGTTTCATCCTGATCATAATTACATTTACCCGTTTTATGTTTTCTTATTTTAAACAAAGAATGATTTAATCTAGTGTGTCCTATTCGAATGCGAGAAATAATTATCTTCTCTTCTATTCCTAAACACTCTTCTTCCATTTCTTACTTCATTCTGTATTCTATATATGTCTTCCCTTGTTACCACTGTTCCATGCTTCTTGCCATTTATTGTTAATAAATTCTTTAATTTTACCTTTAACCTCTTTTTTACTCAAATTCAATGTAATATTTATATCACCACTTCATTAGCCTCCACTCCCGCATGTGCCCAGAGATATCATCATATAGACGAATCCGACGAGCGTTCTGTGTAGGCTGCCATCTTGTGGCGACGCCATTACTGAGCTGTTACACCTGTATAGACATATGCACCGGTATGTAAACAAACCTCGGTGATACCGCGAACGCAGTATACCTTGATGACAGCTACAGCCAGGCAGAATGACTTGTTGGGTTGATGATGTTAGACAGTGGCCTCCAGTCACAGATGAAGGTACAAACGATCTTACAGATTATTTATGAAAATAGCTTGGCAAGCTAGCTAGGCTAACGTTTGCTAACGAGGAAACTATAAAAAATATCTGTCCATTTGGCAACAATAAATAAATAAATGAATGAAATCAAATAAACAAATTCATGTTTTTCATTTGTGTCCATATTTATCTCATTTTCACATTGCAACGGGCAAGGGTAAGGTAACGTTACAGCTAGAAAGTATACATAATATCGACCAATTAGTGTTTTTAAACCATGGAACAGTGTTGTAGTCGAGACCACCTCACTCGAGTCCGAGTCGACACCGAGACCAGAGAGAGTCGAGTCCGAGTCAAGACCGAGTCCATCCATAGAGAGTCGAGTCCGAGACCAGAGACGGTCGAGTCCGAGTCGAGACCGAGACCAGTGAGGGTTGATTACCTAATTTACTTTTATTTACTGAATTTACTTAGAGTTTAAAAAATATGATCAGTTTAGGGTAAAAAGGCCACATAGTAGGTGGTGTTAAAAGTAATTTTATTACAATTGGTCATGCGCAGTTGCGCACTAGAAAATCACCAATCACTGGCCGTGTCAATCAATTTAAAGAATTATTTTATTAACATACATTAATAATCATGAAAAATATTTTTAATTGAACTCGAGTGGACTCGGGAATAATTCTGAGTCCTAAAAAAAAAAATGTTCGAGTACGAGTCGATTCCGAGTCCAAATGGACACGAGTCCATGACAAGACCAAGACCATTAAAATATGGTCTCGAGACCGAGTCCGAGTCTGAGTCTCGAGTACTACAACACTGCCATGGAAAGAGGTCAATTTAACAGCAGGAGAACAATTATGTCACATAGGCTAACATTACATTTAGCTCAGGAAAGCCATTTAATGACCATAGCATGTTAATTGAATAGAAAAAATAGCAAGAGAGGAGATTTTGCTGATCACTATATCACATATTTATTACATTTTTTTTTACTTATGTCATTAAATAATTGTTATTATACGCGAATGTCCGTGTCTTGTACTTGCCCAGGAAATCTGTGTAAACCGTACGGCTCCAGACAGGGGCAGTCGACCCGTGGTATTCACAATGTTTTCTCTTCAAAATTGAAATTTTACTGCCACCATTGAAACAATTTATAACAGAAACTGTTTAGCCACTCAACATTATACAAGGGGTAACGTTGTAACGTTAGTGACAGTCGTAAATCGCGGGCTGTTTATTCCAGTGGACGCAAGTTGCAACTAAAACAGTAGGAGGCAATGGCGCAATGCTACCCAGCAACAGCTCAGTAATGGCGCCCGCTTACTTCCGGTAGTTTCACCGGATTCGTCTATAGATGATGGCTGCCTGCGCCTTATTAGAATACATCAACCAATAAATCGCCTTTACTCTTCACTTCATTCTAGTCTATTCTTAAAACACAGCGTCATCATCGACCCCACAAACTTTCGGTAAGTTTGAATATTAACTTGATGGATGTATAATTTTGCTTTTTGTGTTTGATTAAACTCTATATTCGCCTAAAGGACTGGCGATCCCAACCCGGTATCACGACAAGACGTGAAATAATCACGTTGGTCCACTTTGGAAAACGTGTAGATGTCACGGTTTAACCCCTTCAAACGTGAAACTTACACGTTTGCGTTAACACATTCCAATGGAGAGATACCCGGATGTTAACCTATTTTAAAAGTATAACATTACAAATGCAGCGAACACACTAATGTCTCCTAATCTGTACCCAGACAGCAAACTGACATTGAATCAACGTGGAAACGTCTCTCATGACATTGAAACAACGTTGATTTGCTCATCGAATTAACGTTGAACCAACGTCAGACGCGGCATTCTTCAAAGCTAAATGAAATCGAAAATTGGTTTGCTTTCATAACGTTGAAACAACGCGTTGATTTCAAGTTGATTTTCCGTTAGTTTTGAAAGAATGACGCATCTGACGTTGGTTCAACGTTAATTCGATGAGCAAAACAATGTCAGATCAACGTTGTTTCGATGTCATATTTCCACGTTGATTCAATGTCAGTTTGCTATCTGGGTAAGCACTAAGGTGCTAACGGCACTGAAGTTACAGGAGTTTCTTCCCGTTGCTAAGCAACGGTAGGTCGAGTATTTAAAAGGTTATGGTTAACACGGTTAACGTGGTTTAACATCGATGTAATTCGTTGTTTTAGCGAACCTTTTGCTTAAACGAGGAGCTGGGGGACGCCGGAAAAATAGACGTTTTACTCATTTGGCTACTTCATTAAAACGTGACATTTTTACGTTTTTTTCGGCGTGGATCAAGGCAAAATGGCAAATGAATCCTTTAGTTTTCACCTTGAAAATAATACTTTTTTGCATTTTAATTAATAGAACATTTCTCAGTGATCGTCAATAAAACAAAATTCCATTTTTTCTCGGTTTAATGAAAACCAATAGGTCGTTATGGCAGAGCGTGTAGAATAGGTCAAACGTGTAAGTTTCACGTTTGAGGGGGTTAAACCGTGACATCTACACGTTTTCCAAAGTGGACCAACGTGATTATTTCACGTCTTGTCGTGATACCGGGTTGCATATCCGGTAGAAATATTTAAATTTTGCTGCGCATCGATGTAAGTTTATCATTTAAACGCGTTTTTAAACATTGTGGTTTGGATACAAATTATTTCAAACCGCCCAGGCACAGTGAGCAGCGGGAGAGAATTCATTTTGTAAATGCTGGTTTTGAGACCATGGTGAACTTGAGACGGCTTTGCACAGCGCACTTGAATCCGACTCTGAGGTCTCAAAGTGACAGACGCTGTTAATAAAGATGCTGTCGCCATGTGTGTCTCTGTGTTGTGCTTTCTCGCGGGATAGCTGTTTTGGACGGTGCTGGGTGGTGGTGGGTGTCGTCACTCCACACCATATCTATGGGAATGACCCATGGCGTCAGGTGGTGTGGCACCCTCACTCCCTCAGCGCCTTCGACCAGGTGAAGCACTCAGCGAGACGCTGCTTTATATCTCTCGTGAAGATCAATAGTGAAGGCTTCGCTAGGTGGGTGTCGAATGGGGTCCACTTCAGCTTCTCGTGGTTGCCGACGCGAGTCCGGGAGGGAGGCAGGACAAGCCCTTCCCTGGCTGTGGTGAATTGGAGTGGGACAGATACCGCAGGGGACCTAATGGCTGGAGCTGAAATTAGTTAGGTTTACGGTTTTAGTGTGGCTGGACATTGAAGATCCGCCCAAAACGGTCATAGAGTGGGAGCTCCATGCATTGGTTCTGCAGGTATCTGGGACAAGAGTGGAAAGATGTTGAGTCGAAGTTGAGATGGGCAGTACCAACCTTGGTGTCAACCAAAAGTCTGCACAGCTCCTCTTCTGCCGTGCACATCTAAAACCTTGTTTTGACTTTCTCCTGTTATAATTTATTGGTAAATCATTAATGACAATAATTAATAAACAGAGATTAGTCATGGCGGCGGCGGCGTGTGCAGCTGGTGGGGGCTCGGCTTGTCCCCGTACAAAACCTGCAATCTATAAAACAGATAATGGGAAGGTGATAGTGGAGGATGAATTGTTAAACTTCATCGTGGTTAATGTATATCAGTCAGATGCTTTGCTGGGTAATGTTAAGGTCCCAATGCATTGTTGTGTCGGGATATGAACTGTAAGAATGTACAACATTGTAAGGATTTATGTTCCTTGTATGAAGCTATTGTGGAGTCCATTGGTATCTCGTGTTGGCCATTATATAAAACCAGGTCAAAAGTGTGCAATGCTAAGCCAGGATGGAAGGATCATGTAGAAGACCTTCGTGAAGAGGCCTGTAATGCTTTTAAAGAATGGGCTGGGGCTTTTTTTCTTTTTAAACAGTGGTTTAAATTAAAAAAAAATGGGCCTTTGTTTTTAAATTAATTGAATTACATTTAAACATTTTGCAAGGATTAAAAAACAACAACCTGTAAACTATATAGGGAGCCGCACATTACTATAACATTAAAGGTACACAACAGAGCCTAGACGTGAAGCCTAAATTCAGATGCTATTTATTTTTTAGATATAATAATCAACACCCAACACATTGAATGAAAACATGTAAACTGAACCTAAGGCAGTTTTTGCATTACCTTATGTTTTTAATTTGTTATTG